GCTGGGTCCCCCCACGGTCAGACCACAGACCCAGCAGGCACCTAACGGGCAGCATTTTACTGGACCCCCAGCGGCATTCAGGACAGTTCTTCATTTTTAAGTGTTTTAATAAAATATTACATCAAAATGTACAGCCACGGACACATCCACAAGTAAGGAGTGGGGCTTCCAGTGGCCCCCGCATCCGCCCAAGTTCTGAAACCCTCTCACAGCGACCTCCCGATGCGGGCACCCAGCCACGGGCTTTTTGGGCTCCAAGGGGGCACACTTGCCCCGTCCTCCGTGGCCCCTCCCTCCACACCTGTTTCCTCCACTTGGGTCCCTAAATTGGGGTTTGTGGGACTTGGTTCTAGACCCTTTTCTTGCCCCAACACACACTCTCCATAAGCAGGCCCACCCACTCCTGCTTGTTCAACAATCGCCTTTACGCCCACGCCCCCACCTGCCAGCTCCAGCCAGGCCTCCGGACCACGCGTGGCGCTGCCTCCGGGCATCTTCTCTTGGCGCCCTCCAAGAGCCCCAAGTGCCGCGCGTCCAAAGCTGACAACATCCCCCTTCGGCCAACGGCCCGGTCTAACTCTACTCTTCCTCGGGAGTCCCCATCTCAGGGAATCATCCTCCTTGCTCCCCGACCGGATACCTGACTGCCGCTCCTGACGCTCCGTCTCTCCTCCCCTTCTTTCCCCCTCCCTTCTACATCCAATGAGTCATCAGTAAGTTAGATACGAATATTGTACACCCAATAGCAACCACTGGAAAAATAAAGCGTCACAGAAAATTAAGCCAATAGAAGAGACAAATGGAATACAGAACAAGACATGCAGTCCAAGAGGGAGAAGAGGGTACGAAGAATAGATGAGATAAATAGAAGACAAATGCGAGACGGTGGTTTAACCCAACCATACCCACACTTACATTAAATTGGTCTAATGGTCCGACTAAAAGGCAAAGATTTTTCAAACTGGATCAAAGAAGCAAAAAGCAACGATCTACTGTCAAATGACACATACTTTAAATATAAAGGTCGGTTAAAAAAGTAAACAAAATGAAAACATGGAAAAATAAAATGCAAACACTAATCTCGAGGAAGCTGGAATGAGTAAATTAATATCAAACTTTTTTTTTTTAAGATTTTACTTATTTATTCATGAGAGAGGCAGAGACACAGGCAGAGGGAGAAGCAGGCTCCCTGCAGGAGGCCTGATGTGGGACTCGATCCCTGGACCCGGGGTCACGCCCTGAGCCGAAGGCAGATGCTCAACCGCTGAGCCCCCCGGGTGTCCCCAAAGTTAACTTCCATATAGGGAATATAAAGGAACATTTCATAACAATAAAAGGATCAAATTGTCAAGAGTGTCTAACAGTTCTAAATGTGTATTACCTCATAACAGAGATTCAAAATATGTGAAGTAAGTTCATAGAACTAGCAGGATAGGGAAACCCACAACAACGATGGAAAAAAAAAAACGATTTTTTTTTTTTTTTTTTTACGATGGGTTATTTTGACCATCTCTCAGTAACTACGGGAAAACTGATAAGGATAAAACTGACTTGAACATCAGTCAACTTATCCAAGCTGATGCTTAGAGACCAGTTGCCCAACAACAGCAGAATACATATTTTTTTCAAGTACATGTGCAAACATTCTCCAAAATAGGCCATATGCTAGGCCACAAGATATGTCTCAAGACAATTAAAGGAATTAAATCATACGGAATATGTTTTCTAAATACAACACAATTAGAAATAACAAAAATATATCTAAAGAGTGCCCAAATATTTGGAACTTAAACAACATAATTATAATTAACTCAAGGGTCAAATACATAATCAAAGGGAAACTAGCGAATATTTTGAATTAAATGATAATGAGAGCACAACATATCAATATTTGTGAGATTAAAGCTAATGGAATGTTTCATGGAAATTTTGTAGCTTTGAGTGTTTATATTGGACAGAAAAAAGGCCTAAAATCATTGATCTAAGATTCCACTTGGGGAACCTAGGAGAAAAACAACAACAAATTAAACCTAAGTAGGTAGAAGGAAGAAAATAAGGAAAAGTGGAAATTTAATATAATGCAAAAATAACATAGATAAAACCAATAAAATGAAAGTTCTTTTTTAAAAAAGATTTTATTTATTTATTCATGAGACACAGAGAGAGAGAGAGAGAGAGAGAGAGGCAGAGACAGGCAGAGGGAGAAGCAGGCTCCATGCAGGGAGCCCGAAGCGGGACTCGATCCCGGGACCCCAGGATCACACCCTGGGCTGAAGGTGGCGCTAAACCACTGGGCCACCCAGGCGTCCCCCAAAGTTGTTGAATTCTTAATTTAAAACCTTTCCACAAAGAAAACTTATGACCAGATGGTGTCACTGGTGAATCCTATCAAACATTTAAGAATAAAATAATATCAACCCTAAACACTCTCAGAAAATATAGAAGGAGAACACTTCTCAACTCATTTTCAAAGGCAAGCTTTACCTTCATTCCAAAACTAGACAAAGCTTTTCAAGAAAGGAAAAATAAAGGTCAGTATGAACATAGATACAAAAATCCTTAATAGGATATTAACCAACGGAATCGAGCGATATACAAAACAAATAATACATCACAAGCAAGTAGTCCAAGAACGTAAGATTTTCCACATTACAATGTCAGCCAGTAGAACGGACTACCTTAATAAAATAAAGGGAGTATTTATATAATCCTCTCAAGAGATTCCAAAAAAAATTCATTGATAAAAATTCAGCACCTGTGTATGATAGAGACTCTCAGCAAACTAGGAATAGAAGGAAGTTGCCTCAGTCTGACAAAGGGCATCTACAGAAAAAGATCATACCTAATGGTGAAAGATTGAATGCTTTCCCGCTGTGATCGGGGACAAGGACAGTGGCTCTCACCACTTTTATTCAAAATGGTACTGGAGGTCCTAACCAGCAGAAATAAGGTGAGAAAAAAACGCATTCTGATGAGGTAGAAACAGAACTTTCTATTTTCACATATGACATAATTGTGTATGTAGAAAACCCTAAGGAATTTACCCAAAACCCAAACAAAAACAAAAACAAAACCCGATCCCAAAACTATAAACTAATAAGTGAAGTAGCAACGTTATAGAACACAAAATTAATATACAAAAAAATGTGTTTCTATATACTGGCAACAAACTGGAAGAATGAAACAAAATACAGTATCGTTTTGCAAGTGTCAACAACCAAAGTAGTTAAGAATAAGTGTAGGGGCCAGGTGGGTGGCTCAGCGGTTGAGCGTCTGCCTTTAGCCCAGGGCGTGATCCTGGAGACCTGGGATCGAGTCCTGCGACGGGCTCCCTGCATGGAGCCTGCTTCTCCAACTCTGCCTGTGTCTCTTGTGAATATATAAATAAAATCTTTTTTTAAAAAAAAGACTAAGTGCAAAATGTCTATGCTCAAAGCTACAAACTATCGCTGGGAGAAATTAAGGACATCAAAAAAAAAAAAAAGGACAGGTATACCACGTTCATGGATTGGAGGGGATGGATTGTCATGTGGATCTACCTGGTCGATCTGATGATGCATCAAGCATCACGTTCTGCGAGTCGTGCCTGCCAACTCTACCTCAACCCTGACCCCTTCTCTCCACCTCTACCACCTTCCGTCTGGCCGGGACGCCGTCATCTCTCCCTTGATGTCTGCATCCGCCTTCTGTGTGGTCCCCCCCAACCAGAGACTTTGACCAGAGAGAGAGGTCATATATGCACACATCAGACTGCTTAAAACCGTGCCAGGGCTCCCTACCACCCAGACGTAATACCCAAGCTCCTCAGTGGACCTCAAGGCCCTCACCGACCTTCCCAGCCTCAGCTCCTGCCACATCTTCTGAGCCTACTCCCCACACTGTAGGCGCGGGGAGCTTCTTTCCATTCCCTGAGTGTGCGCGGCTCCTCTGCCAGCCCCTGCCCTGCACTGCCGACCCCAGGCTGGTCAAGGACCACTCCGTGTCATCTATCCGTCACCATCGGGACTATCCAGGTGACCTGTGTGCAGACAGTCCTCCCTAATGGATCGTGTGTGCTTCAAGGGCAGGGGTGCCGGGCCTCTTGGCCACACCCATCGCACCCCACGCACACTCCTGGAGGAGCTTCAGAATGAACAGGGGGAGCAGGGCAGAGAGCGATGTGTCGATGCTGATGGGTCTTCACAATGGGGTGTGGTGGATGAGGGATGAGAGCACATCAATGGGATCACAGACACACACACACAGTCACAGCACCCCAACATCACATCTGTCCAGGCCCTAGGAACCCACTGGGGACCAGCGCTGACCCCTAATAGAACAGCCAGCCCAGCCAAAGCCAGGACTGTCACCTTGTCCGTCAGCCTCCCCTCCTGGGTGATTTGTGAGGGGACAGGCAGCTGAGGTCCTGTGGGGGGCGGGGAAGGAGAGCATGGGGTGAGGGGGGCTTTAGGTAACTGTGCACAAGCGTGGTGACAAAACCTCCGTGCCCGGTGTTCCCAGGACCCTGGAGGAGCAGGCTCCCAGCCCAGACTCGACCACACTGTCTGCTGGGATCAGAGGGTCCCAGCGAGGGCCCCGCATCTCAGGTCCCCTGGACGGGGACTGGGCCTCAGAGCTGCAGGGCCGAGGACTCCTGGGGGCTGGGACACCCAGCCTCATCCTCAAAACCAGCAAAGACCATCTTGATGGAGGCACCCTGTTCAAGGCCTTGCACTGGGGTCCCCCAAACCCCAGTGTCCCCAGGAAAAAAAGTGACTCCTGTATTCATTTCAAAAGGCGGCACATCTAGCTTCAATCTGTTAAGTATCAGAGAAGAAAAAAAAGGGGGGGGGGCTAGTCAAACCAAAGATGCAGGCATGGGGCGCTGAGCGAGTGATGATTAACGGAGACAGAGAGGAAGCGGCCTGGAGCATCCAAGAACCCACTTGAGGCCCACTGGGCCCTGCCCCGGCCAGGCCCCCTCCCTACCGCACTCAGGGCTCCAGGATCTCGATACTCACCCCGGAACCCCTGCCACCCCAAGGCTGACCCAGGCCTGGGGGAGGGGGCAGGCGAAGCTGAGGAGAGCAGACCTGGGCCCAGGGCTGGGCAGGACGCGGCTCCCGAGGGGAGGGCACAGGCCACCTGGCTGAGCGGAAGTGGTAATGAGAAGGAACCTGAACAGGTGGCACAGGGCAAAGTCTGCCGGGAAGGCTGGAAAGGTGCTGCTCCCAGCGGCACACACCCGAGCCTGCACACGTGGGTCAGCCGGGGCCGTCCGACACAGGACGGTGGCCCTTCGCCCTACAGTCCCCGCCGGCAGGTGCAGAGCCGGGACGCCCCTGGTGTGGCCACCACTGCTGCGGGGGCCCCTGGAGCCTCCAGTCCGTGCGGGTCAGCAGAGGGGAGGGGGGAGGCTGCCGTGGGCCGGCCCGGAGCCCGTGGGCTCTGTGGTCTGCAGCCCCCACTGGGCCCGGCGGATCCTGCACGGGGCTGGGGGGCACCAGGCCAGACCTGAGAATAGGGGCGGCGGCTGGGGGCCTCTGAGGTGCGGGGGCCTGCCGCAGGTGGGAGGTGGCACAGGTCGGTTTCCCGTCGCTCCCCCTCCGCAGGACGAGCCGGGCTGTGCCAGGCCAAGGACTCCAGGGCAGAGCCATTGCCCGGGCACTGAGGCCCAGGGAACACAGGCTGCCTGGAGATCGCTGCGCCCCAAGGTGGTGCCGCCTGCGGGGGATGGGGGCAGCCCGAGCATGCCCGGGGCAGCATGTGCTTCAGCTGGGCTCCCTCCTGCCGGGGCCCCGGGGGCCTCAGGGATCGGCTGGGTAGTGGCGTGGACTGGAGGCTGCGGCCAGGAGGGTGCAGGCGGGGGCACCCTCAGCTCCGTCCAGCGCGGGGGCCATGGCCTGTGCCCCACTGCCCTAGCCCAGTCCTGGAAGCCCCGCTGGTGGCCAGCTGCCTCCCTGTCCCCGAGGCCCTCCCCCATCCTCCACTCCACCCCAGAGAGTGGTCACAGCCAGGCCACTCCTGCAGCAGCTCCAGCTTGTCCCCGCCCTTTGCCCCGGAGGCCATCCTGGCTTCTGGAGTTCCAGGGGAAGGGGGTGGGGCAGCGAGCCAGTGAGCGAGCAATCAGGGCAGTGGCCTGGTGACCCGGAGATGCGGAGATGGCGGAGATGAGCGCCTAGTGCGTGCATCCAGCTGGTTGGGGGCCCGGAGGCCTGCAGGGATGCGTCCTCCCACGTCAGGAGCAAAGGACTGCACCTGGACCTCCAGGGCTCTCCTGGGCACCCAGGGGGGCGGGGGGAGGCGGGGCACCAGCGTGGCCAGGGAGGGTCATGACCCACGCCAGCTGGCCCACCTGGGCCCTTCCTCCTGCTCCTGCACTGGGGCACGCGCCACCCCAAACCTCTCGGCCCCGCTGCCTCCTCCCCACACGGGTCCACCTACCTCGCAGGCCAGGTGGGCCGTCCTGGAGGCCACGGTCACCCTCTGTGCCCGAGCAGCCAGGCGACGGCCCCCAGGGGAGGCAGGCCCGGGCCTTCCCCTGCAGCTCCCCACGAGTGGACTCGGCCACCAGCTTCCCGAGACGAGACTCATCCGTAAACCTCTCAGTATTCAAGTTTATTTATAAAGTTACTTCCTAAAAACGTTGCACATAAATATCTAAATGAGGTTTGTCCTGCTACGCGCTCCTCTGCCGTAGGTCGCTCTCGGAGCGGGGGGCAGGCGCCCCGGAGGGTCCCAGCCGCGGAGAACACACCCTCCCGCGGCACCTGGTCCCCACGGCCACCTCCTGGCAGGACGGGGCTCTCGGCCTGGACCCTGCAGCCGTCGCCACGCCGGGGCCGGTGGCACATCGCAAGGGTGCCCCTGGAAGCCCCAGTCGCCGGGGCTGACGCGGAGGCCCATCCAGTTAGGTTTTCATAACCGCCAGGAAGGAAGACTGCAGGAGGAAGGAGGGCGAGGCTGGGCAGCGGCTGTCCTGGGGTGGCAACGCCGGGCCTGCCAGTCCCCCGGCCCTCAGGGTGCCTGTGTCCCCGGGCACGGCCCGGCCCGTGGCAGACGTGGCCCTGGGAGGAGCGGGGGAGGCAGCCCCGGGGGAGCCCTGGGCCTGCCCCGACTCAATCCCGCACTCACCTCCTGGAGCAGCTGCCCCAGCCTCTCCCGGCTGTGGATGGAGCGCCTGCAGGAGAGAGGACACGGTAGCCCCGGGCCCCCGCCCCCCGCCAGGAGGCGGCATCTCTCCTGCTGCTGCCCCGCCTGGGCACGGGGAGGGGGACACCAAGACGCTGCGGGCGCCCTGGCCCGGGCCCCACCTGTCTATCCTGGTGGCGATGGTCACCGTGAAGGCCCCCTCTGTGTCTGGCAGGTAGGTGGAGGGCACAATCCTGTAGGTCCCCGCCGACAGGTGGCACAGCCGGCTCACTTCCTGGGCGTAGCAGTGTGGCACGCAGCTCAGCAGAGGCTCCTGGAGCAGCAGGCAGGGCGCGCCCGGGCCACCCCCGTCCACCGGAACCTGGGGGGACACACGGGCTGACGGGGAGGCCTGTGGCGGGGCTGCTGTGACCACCCGGACCGCTCTCCTCCTAGGTCGGGGCTTCACTCCCCTCCTGAGGCTGGGACGTCGGGGTCGGGAGGAGCCGCGGCCGTCGGCCCGGATCTCCCAGGGCTCCACGCCCAGGCCGCCCTCGTCACACGCCTGACCCTGACCTCTCCAAGGGGACACCTGCCACCCTGCCAAGCCAGGCTCACATGGCCCCTGACTCCTGTCGGGGGCAGGAGGCCCCAGAATCACCACTGCCCGGGGCTCCTTCCAAGAGTCCTGACTGGCTCCGGGCAGGTTTATCAAAGCTCCCAGACGCCCCCCAGATGCAGGATGAGCCCTCCGCTCGCAGAGCACAGCGGGTCCCCCGCGGGTTCAGAAGCTTCTCGGGGACGTTCCTACCCTTCCCTCTGTCATCTGCACCCCAGCCCTCCACCGGCGCCCACCAGGTCACGGAGCTCATTGTCCAGGGGCCCCGAGGAGGAGCAGAGCGGGGCTGGAGCCACTTCAGTGCGTGCAATCTGGGCGCCTGACCTCTGCCCCCGGCACCGTGCCCGGGCCCGGCCCTGCCCCCGCTCGGCTATGTGCGTCCTGCATCAGCGCCGGGAGAGCAGCCGAGGCGGAGGAAGGCCTGGGGCGCCCGTGTGACGCACTGGCCGCACGTCGGCAGGGACGCACCTCCTCTCCACCCACAACAACTTTTGGTCTGAGGATCCTCCGGGCAGCTGCTCGCCACGGTGTTGGCGGCTGGGCCCCTCCCCCTCCCTGCTCTTCCGGGGGAGCCGGTGCTGCCGCAGTCTGGTGCCCCCGCTGGTGCCCGCTGCCTGGAGGAGCAGCCCAGGGGTGGGGGGCACAGGGCACGCCCTCAGGCCTCCTGGGCAGGAGGCACCTTCTGGGGGCAGAACTGACCTCCTGACACTTGTGGGCTGGGGGGCGGACGGGGAACATCACTGACCTAGGACCCCAGCGAGTCACAGACTTCGTGAGACCAAGAGACCAAGAACCAGATCCTGCAGGCGACCGGCCAGCCCAGCTGGGCCCCACGACCGAGTCCGCGCCTCTCTGGGGAGCCCGGGCACCTGTGTGGACGCACCCCCATCTGGGAGCGGGAGGAGCTTGCCTGGAAGACGTGGAAGCCGATGGGGCGGCACTGGCTGTCCTGGCAGTGCTGGCGCAGGGTGATCCGGACGCAGCGGGGGCCTGCGCCGTCAGGGACAGCGAGGGGGAAGCAGGGGTTGGTGGGGTAGGAGGCGAAGTTCCTGCTGCCGCCTGCTGTCCGGCCGATCCTCCAGGAGCCGCGCAGCTGCACAGTCTCCCACTCGCCTGCGGGCAGGGCCTCCCCAGGGCCCGGGCTCTTGGCCACCGGCTTGATGGCGCTGCGGGAAGGACACAGCGGGGGGGCTGGCAGCGCGCTCCCCGCACCGGCCACGGACACACCCCGCCCTCCAGGAAGCAGCCCGGGCCGCGTGCCCCTTCCCTCGGCCTGGAGCCCGGCCCTGCCCCCTCACCTGAGGGAGACTCTCCCACTGGAGAAGACCCGCAGCAGAAACTGCCCCGGCACGTCCTTCAGGAAGGTGCTGGGCACGGCCAGGTAGTAGCCGGGGCCGAGTTCACAGCGGACGTGCACCTCCCGGTCGTAGGCGTGGCACACGGTGCCGGCCACGGGGGGCGTGGACAGGACCCGGGGCAGGCTGACCCGCCGCTTCTCCACCTGCACAGAGCAGCACCGTGTGCCGGGCCTCTCCGACGAGTTAACAGAGGCAAGCACCCAGACCTGGGGGCCCCCGTGGGGCAGGGGCAGGGGCCGGCTCCGGCTCCAAGTGGCCACCAGCCCAGGGCTCTCCCACGACCCTGGAGGCAGCGGCCGTCCCACACGTGCGCCTGCAAATCCTTCTGCTTTGGGAGAGATTAGACCCCCTAGATGGGGCCGTGTCCTGTGCCTCCGGCCGGTCAGCCAACGGCTGTCTTTGTCCCGTCTCCCTCTGCCCGACAGACCCGGCTGGGCCAGGCGGAGCTGGGTCTGTGGGAGCTGCAGTGGGTCTGTGACCCCAGAGCACCAGATGGGCCGGTGGGAGGCACGCGAGGCTCCGGGGGTCGCTGGTGTCCCAGCACCCAGACCCTGAGCAGGGAGCCGGGAGCCGGGGAGGGGTTACCTTCCAGATATGCAGGCCCACGGCCTGGTAGTCCTCGCCCAGGAGGCTGGCCGGGCTCCACGCGGCACGCTCGTCCCCCGCCAGAGCCCGGGCCCGGCCTGCACCGGCCGCTGCGCGCACCCGGGGCCTCTGCAGGACAGCAGCAAACACCTCACTGGGTTCCGACACCCGCAGCCAGAATTTGGGGTTGCTGGGAAAGCCGCTGTTGTTCCGACAGCCTCCTGCCGACTGCCCCCTGACCCAGGCCCCGGGCAGCTCCTGAGTGTGGCACAGCGCCCTGTCTAGGGGACCAGCGGGCAGCAGCGTCAGGAAAGGGCCTTCCTGCCACGCTCACCTCCACCGGCCACGGCAGCCTACGGGGGCTACGGTCTCCCGCCACCTCCGGCCGCCTGGGACCGGAGCGCATGGAGCCACCTCTGCACATGCACAGAAGCCAAGGAGCCCAGAGCCTGGGGGTCGTGCCGGGAGCCCCAGCCCGCACGGGGCCTCACCTGAGTAGAGACTCTGCAGGTGGCCGGCCTCTGTGATGGGGAAGCCAACGGTGACCTCGTCGAACTCCCGGAGGAACTCCTCCTCCTCCACCCAGAACTCTCCTTCCTGCAGCTGCGACAGCAACTCAGACCCGTCGGCGGGGTCCACCTGGCTCCAGCCTTCGCCCCTGGAAGGCAGCTTAGGTCAGTGGCGGCCCCCATCCCCGAGCGCGGACTGCGGGGCCCTTCCTCGGGGCGGTCACCCCTCCTTCCCTGAGGCTCCTGCCCCTGGACAGGTCTGCCCAGGCTGTGCCCGTCAGCGGGCCAACGACAGATGTGCCCGATTGTGTCAGACGGAGCTGCCGCCGGCCTCCTGGCTCAGGAGCAACAGTCGGATACGTGGACCTGCTGCGGTCAGCCAAGGGGTGCAGACCCCGTGCCCTCCTTCGAACCTGGTGCCCAGCGTCAGGAATACCTGAAGGCAGAGCTGAGCACCGTGACCTGGGCACTGCTGGTCACTTGCAGGCTGACTGGGGAGCCACCATTCCGCGGCGCCTTCCAGACAGGAGCCCAGCCACGCGCTGTCCTGCCAGCCGCAAACCACCGCGGGCGCTGCAGCCCAGGCACATGCGCGGTTAGGGTAGCTGTCCGCTGCACTCGGGCCCAACGCCCCCCCTCCCCCCTCCCCGCCAGCAGCACAGCCCCGGGCCTCACCCACACTCACCCCTCTCTCCAGGGCCCCTGCCAGCAGCGCCGGCCCCAGGGGTTCTGGATCCGCAGCAGCAGGATGCTCTGGCCGGCCCGCCCGGGCAGCTCCCGCACATCCGAGACCACGAAGGCGTGGAACTCCCCCAGCTCCCTGGCCCCTGGGTGAGGAACACTGTGCTTGTCGGCAGGAGGTCCCCAAAGCGAGCGCACGTGCAGCTCTGTCTCCTGCCCCGTGGGACGCACTAGCCCCCCCGCCTGGCCACGCCGGCGCCCAGTACCCACGGACCCCTGGGGCCCTCCTCCCGACAGCTGCGCACGAGTGAGCTCAGAGCCACAGCACGGGACCTGGGTTGGGACCGTGGCTCAGCTGCCACAGGCCCGGCAGCTCATTCCCCAGTCAGGGCCTCGGTCCTCGCCCGGGTGGGGAGAGGCCGGCCGGCGGGCTGACCAGGCGCCAGGGCCCCAGTGCAGGCCAGTTCTCAAACACGCGGCTACAAGCAGCGTCGCCAGCAGCTCCGTGACGGGCCGGCGACCACCGAGAGCATCTCCTGGCGAGGCCGGCCGGAGGGAAGGCTGGAGGCCCCAGAGGGGAATCAACCCCACCTGCCCAGGCCCTGGGACAAACCATGCGGAAGCGGAGGGGCCCCACCTGGGGACAGTGTGGTCCAGAGAGCAGAACCCAGAGGGACGCTGTAGCCACCACCCTGGATGACTGCCCGAGTCCCCCGCCCCGGGACACCTCAGTGGGATCCAGCTGAGCGCCAGCAGCCCCCTCTTGGCCTGGGCGTCTGCAAAGCCCGGGGTGCTGAGAATCAGCCCTGCCCACCCCAGGGGCCGCGGACGCTGACCCTCAGGGGAAGCATTGATGCTGCGTCCGGCACGTCAGCACGGCCCTCTGCGGGCGGCCCTCGCCTCCCAAACGGGGTGGTGGACCCAAGCCGCACAGCCTTAGCTGCACACGTGTCCGTTTATCTCCGTGTCTGTGTTCTCGGGCCCTAAGCTCCGTTACGAACGTCATTCTAAACGTGAGCTGTTATGCGTCAAGACGTTCAGTAACGTGAAGAAGCGAAAAGACCTGAACTGTCGGGCGTTAAGGGAAAGAGTAAGAGAACACGGCAGCTCCACCAGGAACCAGGTGCGGACGGTGTACAGAGCACCTGACCAAGCGGCACGTCGTGCAAGAGGCGACATGCACACCTGTTCGTGGAAACCCGGAGGTCCACAGAAAGCCAAAACAGCTGTTTGTGTGGCGTTTTTCTTTCGACAAACTCCAATGAGCATGAACATCCCTGAACTGAAAACCTGAGCGCTGACTTTGGCAGGTAACCGAGAGGTGCAGCCACCCCGTCTCCTAGAGTCCGTGGGGCGGCTGCTGTGGCACAGGCTCGGCCTCACCCTACTGGTGAGTTGGGGAGAAAAGACAAAAGGTCAAGGGAAAGAGGGAGCCTCCCTCTGGAGGAGGACGGGTGGCAGGGGAAGGTCGCACGCCAGACACCAGCTGCGCAGGACAAGCGTCTTGTTTCCCCCTGGCTCTGGGGGGACCCGGAGAACAAGCCCGTGGCCCCGGCCCCCGCCTTACCTGCTCTGGGGCTGAGCACCGAGCAGCTTATCAGACAGCGGTCCTTGAGGCTGAGCAGCTGCCGGCAAGTCCTGTGCTCCGAGCCAGGCCCAGCCTGTTGGCCACTGGTTCTCACCAAGTCCTTCAGGTTCCACCTTTCCGCCAGGCCACCGGTGAGGTCCACCAGGGCATCTGCCACCTGCCCTGCCCACAGGTGCTCATAGGACCCATAGACCCTAGGAAGACAACCACAGGAGTGAGCCTCGGGCACTGGGGCACGGCGCCGCCTGTCTTCCAGCCCTGCGTCTGCAACACCCCAAATCAGCTCACCCCCTACTTGAGTTGCTCTTTACTCCTGCCTCGTCCTCACCAGGAAAGGACAACACCTGACCCTCAAAGGCCGTATGGCCCAGCGGCCCAGCAACGCCCTGCGGCCTCCAGCGCGGAGACAAGCGCAAGGCGGTGTGGGGCGCCGGGCTGTGAACACCCGCTCCTCCACCCTGGCCGTGGACGGAGGCGCACCGACGTCGCCGCAGCCCCGCCATCAGCGAGTGCGGTGCAGCCTCCTCGGGAAGGCTGCGCAATGCACTCGAGGAGGGAAGTGTTGCGATTCAGACCCAGGGTGAGCGTCTCGGTCTCAGGCAGGACAATAAACAAGCACTGAGACCCGCGTGGCTTCGCTCGTCCCATGGTTTGCAGTGGTGAGTGATGCACATCCTCTCTCTGGAGGTGACGGCTCCCCGCCCGACTGTGAAGCGAGGGCAGGGAGAGGGGGAGCGGGCGGGGGGAGATGCAACACGGGCCATGTCTCAGACTTCCTGCCTCGGGACCGGTAGCCCCACCCCAGGCCTGGATGCCAGGTCCCTGGAACGGACGGGGGCGCCGCAGCCCAGGGAGACGGCAGACGTGCTCCCCAGGCCCCCGCCCCCCCCCCCCCCCCCCAGCCTCCGGCACGCGTACTTGGCGTAGACCTTCTCCAGTAAGGGAAGCCAGAACACATCCTCTCTCTGGCACCGGGAGAAGCAGAGTCTCCCTGCAAGACAAGGCAGACGGTCATCTATGGTCACCTCCACCCAGCGTCCAAATTGCCAAACTCGACAGGTAAAGGAGCCACGGTACGTTTGGTCACACCAGCTCGGCTGTCCTGGAGGAAAGACCTACCACGCACAGGGAGAGGCAAAAGGAGGGCATGAGAGACAACGCACGCGGTGCTTCCCAAGCATCGTCACCGGAGCCGCTGCGCGGTACCCGCTGTTCCGCCGGGGGCCCTACTCTGATGGACACCCGGACGTCAGTGTCTGTGCGCAACCCAACTGTCACGCAGGAAACAGACTTTTGGATACAACACATTGGGACCACCGGAGGGAGCCAAGTGTGTCCAAAAGCTTAAAGCCAACCATGATGTCCTACGGACCCAATAAGGTCTCGACCCGAATCTGAAACAAATGTGACTTCCACAGGCAGTTCTCCACGGGGCGGGCCGCACGCGGCAGTCACAGCACCCCCCAGCTGCGGGCCGGTGCCTCGGGGACTCCGCCAGCACCTGGGCCCGAGGCGGTCACTGCAGGCTCTGGTGTTCTGGCCCCACAGCAAGCAGCGCCGGCTTTGCACCCAGACAGACTGTCTGCTCCGGGCCCTGCAGCTGACTAGCTAGGACCACAGTAACAAGGGCTTTAGGGCCCTCGATTGTAAGCAAGGGGCAAGGCCAGCGAGGCCTGTGAGAGCGAAGGCCAGCAACTGTGGTGCTGAGCAGGGCCTGGGGACTTGGGAGTAGCCGTCAACACTGCCGCCCTCGTCTACCAAGTAGCAGCCAAATGCAAAGCTGTGAACGCTCCTGGGGAAGCGGCCCGAGCAGGCCTTTATACCTGTGCTGGCTGCCTGGCACCTAGCACGGTTTTAATCACCTTTTGCCAACTTAGACTCAAAACTCTTTAAAAAAAAAAACCAACTAGCTAAGGAAACTTACTCCAACCCAGGGGCAATGGACCCCTCAGCCAACCCTGCCCTACTCTAGGCTGGCGTGCTCCTCTTTTCCTCCCAAATGCTCCACCTGCACCAGAACCCAGGGCTCAGGAGGGCAGAGCAGGGCAGAAAGCACGGGCACTGGAGCCCTGGGGACCCGCGGACAGTGTCTGCACCTCGGAGGCCCTGCGGCCCCGAGCAGAGCTCCCTCTTCCCAGCAGCCACGCTGGGCGACTGCAGCACAACCCACAGAGCAGGAGCTGCAGCTGCCCTGCCTCTTGCTTCCTTCCTGTGTGGTGCAGACAGGAAGGCCGCCCCGCCACAGATACCTGGTCCAGGAGGTACTGGCTCTTCTGCAGGGCGGCGCAGGCACACAGGAGCCAGCAGTCTCCCAGCAGCCCTTGCTTCACCTGTCCCTCCTGCGGGTTATCTGCAAACAGCCGCGGCGTGGCACAAATCTCCTGAAACAAAGCACATCACCCAGTTACATCCAGTCTAAAAATAAGAACACAGGATCTAGGCGACAGGCACTGGGGATGAGCCTTTGTGGCCCACGTAGCCTGAGAGGGGAGGGGGAGCAGCTGGCCTCTGGCAGCCACGATGTCAGCCCTCCTGGGGCAAAAGCCCAGCTCTGGATGAATCCCACCACCCCCTTCTCGAAAGAGCTAGCCGTGGCCCTAGACAACAGTTTTGATTTAAATTCCTAACAGCAAAGCCCAGATGGGTCCTCCGGAGTGCTGGAGATCGGGCTCACTCCCCCCGCCCCCCAGGGTACTTTGTACCTTCCCCTTTCTCCCTCTTCTGCTCACTTCCATGCCCCGCCCCTGCCTGGTCCACACCCCATGAGCTAGGGACCTTGCTAAGGACCTTGCTGGAAGCTCGCTCAGAAGCGGCCCCACCTGACCCCTCTCCTGCCTTCAGAGGTTCCCCGACCCCTCTGTCTCCCACCCCTGCAGGGAGAATTGCATCAGCAGAAGGCAGAGCGAGAGCCCCCGCCCCCTGTAAGGGACTATCCCCTGCAGTACTTCCCCTGGAGGCTCCCTTTGCTGACAGACTTCTTGAAAGAACAGCCCTTCCTTCCTCCCTCCGTCCTCCCTCCCTCCTGCTCACTCAGCACAGTCACCTGGCAGCATCAGAACAGCGGGTCCTGGTGCAGCCACTCTGGAAAACTGTGTGGAGGTTCCTCAAAGAGTTAAAAATAGACCTGCCCTACGACCCAGCAATTGCACTGCTGGGGATTGACCCCAAAGATACAGATGCAGTGAAACGCCGGGACACCTGCACCCCGATGTTTCTAGCAGCCATGTCCACAATAGCCAAACTGTGGAAGGAGCCTCGGTGCCCATCGAAAGATGATGGATAAAGAAGATGTGGTCTATGTATACAATGGAATATTACTCAGCCATTAGAAACGACAAATACCCACCATTTGCTTCAACGTGGATGGAACTGGAGGGTATGATGCTGAGTGAAGTAAGTCAGTCGGAGAAGGACAAACATTATATGGTCTCATTCATTTGGGGAATATAAATAATAGTGAAAGGGAATAGAACGGAAGGGAGAAGAAATGTGTGGGAAATATCAGAAAGGGAGACAGAACATGAAGACTTCTAACTCTGGGAAACGAACTAGGGGTGGTGGAAGGGGAGGTGGGGGGGGGTCGGGGTGACTGGGTGACGGGCACTGAGGGGGACACTTGACGGGATGAGCCCTGGGGGTTATGCTATATGTTGCCAAATTGAGCTCCAATAAAAAAAAAAAAATTTAAAATTAAAAAAAAAACAAACAAACAGCGGGCCCCTGTGCAGGCCCCACAGGCCCCGTCTAGGCTCCCATGGCTGCACGTGCCCCCGGCTGTCCTTCCAGCCCCCTGCCTGCGGCTTCTCCACGCCACCTGCCCGGGCCCCCGCTTGAACCCGCTGGTCCCCTCAAGGCTTGCCTCCAAGCCGTCTCTTCTCCAGACCCACGTTCGTTCTCCGGGGACACTCGGGGCCCAGGCCCCAAGGCCCCCCGTTACGGTCCCGGTGCCCAGATGGAGCCTCCAGCCCTGGGCTTCCCGAGTGCCCGGCCCTCCTGCCCACCTGCGTGCTGGCAGCTCTGCCTGCACCTGTGAGAGCAAACCCGAGACGACCATCCCCAGCGCCCCAGCGCCCCAGCGCCTGCCAGTGGCCCTTGCAGGCTCAGCTCTGGAACCGGTCCTTGACCCTCGCATCACCCCCTCTGCTTGCAACCGGCCACTGAAGCTCATCAGCTGCGCTCCACACTGCTCCTGGAGCCCATCCACGGCTCGGGGGCCCTGCGCCTTTCTCCGGGGTCTCCGGGGTCACCGCCGGGTCAGCCCGCTCCCGGCCGGCAGGAACGACGAGCTTCGTGACCACAGGCCCGCGCGCCTCTGCTGCTAAAACCCTCCAACGGCCCCACACTGAGCCCCGAACGCACGATCCACGCACGCTGCACCGGCTCGGCCCCTGCACGGCCAGGCGGCCCCTGCGGGCCTTGCTCGGCGGAGAACCCGCTTCCAAAGACGCCCACGCGCCCCGGGCCGGGGACCCCCTGCGCCGGTTCACTGCGATGGTCACGCGTGAAAGCGCGGGGCGCAGGTCCGCGGCGGCCGGGCCCTCCCGGGGCGGGCGGGGTCACGGGCGGCTCCCAGGGACCCCCCGCCGCAGGCCGGGCCCGCGCCCCCACCTGAGGCCGCCTCCACGTGATGTCCTCGCGGAACTGGGCCAGCGGCGTGGAGAAGCTGGACAAGAGCGAGGAGTCCGAGGCGGGGAAGTCGGCGTCCCGGAACAGCTCCCTGGCCGGCGCCCGCATCCCGCGCCCCGGCTCCCAGGGGCGGCCCCGGGAGGAGCGCGCCCGCCCGGTCGCCGCGGTAACCGCCGGGCCACGGGACGCAGCGGCGCGCTCGCGCGAGAGCGGCGGAAACGCGAGCTCCCAGGGGGCGTGGCTCCCGAGCCCGGCTCTCGCGAGACCGCGCCGCCGTCGCCCCGGCTGCGCGAGGATGTCCCCGGGCGGCGTCCGGGAAGGGACCCCGGTGGCAGCTCAGCCCGCGCAGGCCGGCGGGACTCGCGCCCTCGTGTCCTCGAGTCCGGCGTCGGGCCGCTCGGACTGGCGGGCTCCCGGGGCTGAAGAGGCCTCCTGGGCCGAGGTCGGGGCGCGGACTACAGGTCCCAGCATGCCGCGCCGCCTCCCAGAATGCGCCGCTGCTTCCGGCGCGCGGCGGCCGCACAGCCTGTCGGGGGAGGAGCCGGGGAGGCGGGGGAGGCGGCGGCGGCGGCGGCGGCGGCGGCGGGCGGGGCCGAGGGCTGGGCGGCCGGGGACGCTGTCCCGAGGCCCGCGGAGACCAGACGCACCGGACCCTGCGCGGGGCAGGGGGGAGTCCGCGGCGGACGGCGGGGCAGGCAGCGACGTGCTGGACGTGCTGCGGGGGCGACGGCGCGGCTCTGGCCGCCTGCCTGCGTGCTCCCGGGGCCGCCCGAGCCGCCGCTTCCTGCCACCCGGGGTCTGACGGCGGCCAGCGGAGGCCGGTGTCTGTCCGCCCCGCCCCCCGCCGCAGCCACGCCCCCCGCCCGCAGCCCACGCCCCCCCGCCGCTGTGGTCTGTTTGCACGGACACCCCTCCCTCCTCCCCCTGCGTCCCCCTCCCCCTCCTCCCCCTCCCCCTCCCCTCCTCCCCCTCCCCCTCCCTCCTCCCCCCTCCTTCTCTCTTCCTTCTCCTCCCCCCTCCCTCCTCCCCCCTCCTTCTCTCTTCCTCCTTCTCTCCCTCCCTCCTCCTCCCCCTCCCTCCTCCCCCCTCCTTCTCTCCCTCCCTCCTCCTCCCTCCCTAGTCCCCCTCTCTCCTCCCCCCTCCTTCTCCCCCTCCCCTCCTCCCCCTCCCCCCTCCCTACTGCCCCTCCCTTCTCCCCCCTACTCCTCCCCCTCCCTCCTCCCCCTCCCTCCTCCCCCCTACTCCTCCCCCTCCCCCCTCCCTCCTCCCCCTCCCTCCTCCCCCTCTCTCCTCCCTCCTCCCCCTCCCCCTCCCTCCTCCCCCCTCCTTCTCTCCCTCCCTCCTCCTCCCTCCCCCTCCTCCCCCTCCTGAGCGGGCCTGCAGCCGGAAGCTCCAGCTGGAGTCACAGAGTCACCCCCCAGCTGTTTGGGGAGCCTGGGGTTCGCCGCCGAGGTTCTAGGAAGGGCTGCGTAGGTCAGCAGCGGTCTCTGGGAGGCCCGGCTCCCCGCCGCTCCGCCTTCCGAGGCGAGGGCTGCCCTGGGTGCTCGGGACTGCTGGGCCCGGGGGCTGCGCTGTGGCTACAGGATGTCCGGAGAGGCCCGGGCCCTGCTGCAGGTCGGGGTCCTGAGGCGAGCGCTGAGGTTCCTCCTGCCCTGGGATGCCAGGCAGTCCCCCGTGCAGCATGCCCGGGTGCTAGCCGCAGGTCGGGGCCAGCCCAGCCACCTGGGCTCTAGGGGCCCTTGCGGGGCCTGGTGGCGTCGGGGCCTGCGCCCATGCCGGGGACTGGCCGGGACCCAGGTGTCCCTTCTGCAGCCGCACATCTCTTCCCCATTCAGCGGGCAGTAAGCAGGCACTGCCTTCTGGTGGGGACGCAGACACCAGACACTGGTGTCCTGCCCACACGTCCCCCAGGCCCCAGGGAGAGCTCAGGGCACCGGGGCTGCACCCAAGACTGCCCCCTCCTCTAGGCCCCACGCCCCCCTGATGCTGCCTGGCCAGCCGGGGCCCGACGCAGGTGAGCAGCAGAAGGCATCTGGGGAGCAGGCCTCGCCCGCACAGGGCCAGTGTCCACCAGGAGCGAGGGCCCCGTCCGAGCCGAGGGACGCAGGAACAGCCCTCCGGGGGGCCGTGGGACTTCCCCGCCACCTGCCCGGGGCACGCCGGGCGCCAGCCCTTGGAGGCGGCCCTGGCTGCCAGCGTGTGGGGACGTGGTCGCAGGAACTGCTGCGGTCGGCTTGTGACCGCTGGGGAACATGCCAGAGGCCACGTACAGAGACCCCAGAGCGCAAAGACGAGGACCCCGATGACGTCCCAAGCCCCTGAGCCCGGCCCTCGGATCGTCCGCCTCGGGATTCCGGGTCCTAGGTCACAAACACAGCCGTGCAGCCCGAGGAAACCTTGACGCCTTCGTGTAAGGATCGTGCGGAGACCCGCAGCTCCGTACTGCCGCGCGTCAGGTTGCCCCAGACCTGGGCCCTGATCACGTCGCGGTTTCTGTGGGCCGGGGGTGTGCCTGCAGCGCCCACAGAGGGTCTCGGGATGGCAAGGTGTCGGCCCAGAGCCCGCTGCAGGGGGGAGCTTCGTGGAGCTGCTTGGTGGCGGCTGGCGTCTCCCGGAGCGAGGGAAGGGGGCGGCAGCCGCCGTGGTTGGGGGTGCACCTGGGGTGTCCTGCTGTCGTTTCCTCGACGGTCCCCTTTGCTGGGAGGGAGCCCCGGCACAGCCCCCGCTCCTGGCAGAGAAGCTGCGAGCACACGCTAAGGACCCTGGGGGGTGGGTGGGGGGCATGTGCAGGGACTGGATGAGCCGCTTGGGGGCCTGTGGAGGGTGGGGAGGGGGTGGCGGCCCGGGGCTCCCACTACCGGGGGTCCCGCGCTGTGGGGTGGGCCGGGAGGAGGTCTTCAGGCCCATGGTGGGAGGGCGAACCAGAGACCCAGGTTTTGAACCAGCGAAGGATGAAGATTTAGAATCTTTGGAGGTGCTGGGTCACTGGTCACAGGGTCACGGGTCACAGGAGTCGGGGAGGGGGTGCCGCAGGACGGTGGTGCCAAGTGAGGCCGCCCGGGGGCGCTGCGGAACTGGGAGAAGGACTGGCTTAGGTCCCCGTGGTTTCGGGAGGTCACGGGACTCCCAGCAAGAGAACTGGCTTTGTTCAGGGACGTGCCTTGACTTGGGCTGGCGGTTCTCAGTTCCACCGCGGGCCTCAGTCGCAGGACAGATTGTGGCCCACGGAGCCGCGCTGGCCCCGGGTCCCCCCCAGCAGCCAGAGGGGGGCCCAGCGTCCTGGTCCCGCAGGCCGCGGGGCACCTGCTCCTGGGCAAGGCCGTGTCTGGGACTCTCCAGATGCGGGGACACTGCGGGGGGAGGTCCCGCAGCTCAGCCTGGCCCGCGGCGGGCAGGACGGGCAGGAGCAGCCTCCCCCGGGGCCACCCCAGCGCTGACGGTGGACAGCCAGGCGGCCACCCAGCAGGTCCCTGAGCCCACACCACTCTCAGGTCCCCTGAGCGAGGGTGCTCCCAGCTGCTCTTGGCCTCTGCATCAGCTGCCAAGCCCTGGAACGGGGGACCATGCAAAGTGTGTGGCCGGCCCCGCGGGGGTGGGGTGGTCGGTGAGGGCCTGGGCCGCGGGGGGCGGTCAGCGGGACACCGTCAGGGAGCACGGACTGCGTGGAGTGGGCGACGGGTCCTGGAAGTCGGGTCTCCCGTTCCCCCGCTGAAAGGTTCCAGCTGAAGGACCTCCCGGGCGGGGCTGGGTCGGGGCCACGGTCGGTTCCCCTAGAGAAGCGGGTCGCGCTCCTCTGAGATGCGGCGTGGAGTCCGCGTGGTCCTCGCACATCCCAGAGGCACGTGTCACTGTCCTGCGTTAGGACCAGGAGCCTGAGCTTCAAAGGGAGGAGGTGGTGGGCCGGGAGGGCCGCCCCGAGGTGGGGGTGGGGGGCACACGGGGGCGCCCCAGGCCCGGCAGGCCCAGGGCGCTCTGCTCACTGCGGCACAGGCACGGATCCTTCCCCGGTGATGTAGGTTGATTTTTTTTTTTTCCCAAATAAAGATAATACCAGCTCCTGATAGGAATGTGTCCCCCAAGTACTGCTCTAGAGCCTTCCTTGTGCCACGTTCCAGCCCACGAAGCTTCCCCGCACTGATCTCTCTCCCGAGTTTTCTTTCCTTTTTGAGGGGCAGGGGGTGCCTCTATCCTCGCCATGGCTCCCTAAAACCACTCCCGAGCCGCTGGGCGGTTCTCTCCCGTAGGCCTCCGCGTCCCGCAGGAGCGGGCCCGTTTCACGGCGGACGTCAGGCCCCAGCGGGGCTGAGATCCGTGCTCCACGGGCTGTGACGTCCTCTCCGACCACTCAGCTTGTCCCTTCGGGTGCTGACCCTCCCGTCCCTGTGGTGGCCGGTCCAGCATCGTCGTTAGACCGGAGGTTCTGCCCCGAGCACCTGCCTTAGGAGAGGGGCCTACCCCGGGGAGTCCCCGAGAGAGTGGGGAGCACCCGGGGACGGGCTGGCCCGCCCAGGACACGGCCCGAGGGACCCGAGGACCTGGAGGGGCTCCTGGCAGCCTGGGGCACCGCACACAAGCCCACGGCCACCCTCCTGCCGTCCTCAAGTGTCCCCTCTCCCCACGACCCCACCAGAGCCCATGCTCGAGGCCACTGCCGGCCCCTTTCTGAATGTCACTCCACCTGCCCGACTGCTCCCTCCTCTGTCCCCGAAATGCTGCTGTGTCCCAGGGTCTGCCCTCAGCCCCACGGTGGGTGCGACTGCCACTCGTCACCCCCTTGGGTGCACGTGGTGGGAGAGGCTGTGCGTCCCCAGCGCGTGTCCTCGGCCCGGCCGGCATGAGCCCCTCCCCGGCTCTCGCTTATCTCTGGCCAAGTGCCTGGAATGTTCCAGATGTGCCCTCCTTCGTCAGCACGGGTGGTCCCTGAGGAGCCACGGTGACGGGAGGCCCACCCCGCCGCCCGCCCGCCCGCCCGCCTGCCCGCGGCACGAATGAGAAACAGCCCTCGTTCAAAATGCGGATCTCACAGGGGTTGTGGCCGGACCGTGACTTAGCCCGTGGCCCGGAAAGCGGCCCCGGGGAGGGTGCTGTGGCCTGGGGCTGGCGGGGCCGGGACCGGAAGCCAGGACGTGGCCACGGTGTCACGCGGTGGCGAGGCCCGGCGGGGGCGGTGACTCACAGGGCAGCTGGTGCACGAGAGCCTGGGGCTGGCGGGCAAGACGCGACAAGGGGGA